TTGTTGAACAATTCATTTTGTCTAGTAGTTTTTGATTCATACATTTATTCGTATAAATCAATCATCATTGTGTGCTTTAGGTATTCTATGAACTAGCCTTTTCTTTATAGGTTTTGTTTATATCTTGATTGGATCCATTAATATTCAGTCAAAACAAAATTCTAAAGCAAAAATGTGTGATTAAGTACTTTTTCAATTTTCTATTCCATATAGTTTTGTCTAGTTGTCTTATTTAGTCCTTATATGTCATCATTTCCATTACGTGCCTTTTATTTTTTGGAAAATGAAAAGAGAAAATGCTCAAACCAAAAATTTGTATGTGCTTATTATAAACATATGTTCCTCTTTTTGCTCTAATGATGTAAAACTTTATTTGTATATCTTTACAATCTTTCTCTCAAATAAAGGATCTAATCTCCTATTCAACATAGTCTAAGACTAGTATTTATATTTTGTTTGTAGTTTGTAGAGTTATATATTTCAATGAACCATCGACTCTTATACCACTAATGGGTTGGTTTATATTTTGTTGTATATTGATATGATATTGTCCATTTTTGACTTAAACTCTCATAGATTTGACTTTTGTCATCACCTAAAGGTCTTATACGAATAGGGATATTTGGTGTTTATAAGTTCATGTCCCTCCTCTTATTCTAACAATATGAGACTTTATTTGTATTTCAACACATTGGGGAGAGGTGGGTGTCACCCAATTGGTGGTAGAGGCAAAAAACAAAAGAAAAAGGAGAAGAGAAATAATGGCAATGAATGATTGAAGAACACCAAATAAGCAATTTTGGTTCGATGGTTTCTCAAACAATGATTCAATGGAGGAGGGGAGGAGGAGGTGACGGAGTGAGGATAGGGTGTTGAAGACACTAGACAATTTCCAAGGTGATACATTCAATAGAGAGAAGAAAAAAAAGTTGGTATGAAACTTTGTATGTGTTATCATAGCCAAGTGATGAATCTAATGATTAAAAAAGTGGTGCACCATAGTTCACCTATAAAAGTGGTCCAAGGGTAACATCTATCACAAATTGATACTTGACAAGATAAATACATATTGCATGTGATATCAAGTTTCAACAATAGATAATTTTAAAAATATTTTTAAATAATTAATATTTGTCATGTCCTTATTATAAGACATTTTTAATCAAATTACGTAGAGCAATATAAGTAGTTATATTAGTTAATTTTATTAAATTTATAAAACAAAATTATGATTTACTAATTTTACTCTCCTTATCATTAAATTTTCATAAGGTAGAGAAATTACTCTATATAAAAGCTTATTTTTTGGTACATAGTCTACATAAAAGCTTATGCAATAATAACAATAAAAATGATAAATAGAGAGATTAAGGGTATGTTTGGTTCCACATTAAACATGTTTGACTTTATTTTGATTACATCCAAAATGACAAAAATTATGTTTATAGCATGATTGACTATTAACAAAATTGATTTCGAGATATGAAAATTCACATTTACTTGAAAGCAACTACTGTAACACCCCATTTTTTATAAAATATAATATAAGTATTTAATAAATATTTTTGGTATTTTTGTTTTAATTAATCGAGTTTGTTAATATTTATTTTAATTCTTTGACATGTTTCAGAATATTATATAAGGTGTTTTAATTAAAGGTTTTATTTAATTAATTAAGAGGGAATGAAATTAGTAACTAAGATTAAGTATTTTAACTAAAGAAGGGTTAAAGAAAGGTCAATTTTAATCAATTTTTAAGCACTTTTTTTTATTATGTAAACACTCTTCTTTTAATGTGCAAAGCTCGTGAAACAGGAGTAAGAAGGGAACTACCCCAGAGTTGATCATCCATCTTTTTCTACTCAATAAGGTAAGGGGGGAGTGAGAAACATCACTCTAGATGTTCGTTTGTATGTCGGATAATGCAATTAGCCCCTAATCTTGTGTATGTCATATGTTTATGTATGAGGGGTTTTCTCCAATTGTGCCTTTATCTTCTTTATTTCTCCTTGTACGTTCTATTTGATGTAAATTGTATGTATGTGTTTGTAATTTTCGAAATTGGCTTGAAATTGTATCTTTTGATGTTCTTGTTGGTTCCTATGAGGAATCTTAAGGGAACTATTATGATAGTTGTGAGAAGATATTGATTAATATGTGTAAATTGAGTGATTTGGAATATTAATTGCATGTTATTGAACACTTTTATCGATTATATATGAGTTTTTGCATGGAATTGGATGTGGATAATCGTTGTTGAGGAGATGTGATTTCTAGGGAGGAAGGTTGCATTCTTGCTCACTGAGATGTGTTGGGTTGTTCAACGAGAAACCCTATGAGGCTCAACTCGCTTAGTGGGTTTAACTCCCTCAGCTAGATGTTAGTCACTCAGTGAGAGGCCCCCAACGAGCTTAGCTTGCCCAATGAGGTAATATTCGCTCAACGACTAATAGATAGTTGTTTTACCCTTGTGATCTTGATACTACCTTTTTTTACTAATGAGTAGTTGATCTATTTGAGAATGTACATGGGAGATATGAGGTGATATGATGAACATGTGATACGTGAAGTGAGATAATGTATATGTTATTGCATCAAATCTATTTGACGTGCATCATTTGCATAAAATGTGTTCTTGGGGTACAATATGGAATACATTGTTAAGGAAGGTCTCTTGTGTAAAAGCTTAGGAGCCAACCTTGGGGATAACTTGATTTGAGAAGTCTCAATCCTACCCTCGTGTGTATGGGATGTATCTTATGTGACTTAACTATCTCAACTAGACCTTGATAGTATGTCCTCCTAGTGAGAGTGTGTAGAGGGTGTGACCTGACATACACTTCTAGACCACTCTACGTGTATTACTGGTAACAATGTACAAGTGTGATATTTTTTACTAGCACCACATACATAATAATATGCAGTCCTTGTCTATTGCATAATGCATTATGATGTTATCTATTATTGTTTATTATGTTATGAATGAACTCACTGTGATGATAATATTTATCTGTGCATAATATATCTTATCATATGCTTGTTTGTGTTTGACTGGCTAGTTGCATTCCTGTACCGTAAGTCAAAGTGAAGAGAGTAATCAAACTTCGAATTCTCATTCGGACCCTACTAAAGAGCCCGATCGAATTGGGTTATGATTCGGATCGTGGTCAAATGTTCAACATTCTAGGTGAGGTGGCAAAAGTTACCACATGGCAACACTCCATTAGCTGACCAAACTAGGGGCATCGAAACCCTTTAATGCGAGAGGGCTTCGAAGGAATCTCCTTGATAAAAAGGTTTTCAAACAACATTCAATAAAATCAAATCCATATCATTTGTCATCCAAATGAAAAACACATTACTTTTGACTAACATTTAATTAAAATCAATTATACAAATTTTCATTAATTCAAAATCAATCATATCAACGTATATCCAAACACAAACTTAAAGAAGACAAAAAAAAAATACATATTCTCACAAGAGATAAAAAATGAAAAATAAATTAATGTTATAAAAATTGTAAAGTATCTTATAAAAATCATTAATTTATTTTAAACTGTCTTATAATTATAAAAATCGATAAAGTATTACATATTTTTTTTCTCATATTATTATATTTGAGTAGTAAATATAGATACAAGCTGGAGTGTTGTCAAACTGCATGTGCTAGTGGAGAAGGTGCATGAAAAACCTCTATCCCTGCTGTTTTTATGGGGACAAAAGAAGTTCTATGACTGTATTCACTGATCTTATTATTAGGTTTTATTTTACTACAATCCAATTTCCTTGAGCTTTGTAAACTATGTCATCGAAGACCATTACGTAGAAAGGACGCATGGGGTAGCGTGATCGCGTGGCGTATTCTTCACGCGCCTTCATGTATGCATTGTTTTTTTGGTAGTGTAACCAACACCATTTATGTTATCTAACTTCTCTTCTGCACCCACGACACTGACACTACCTTTCGCCTCACCTTCTCCTGCTTCAAACACGCACTCCTTCGACGAGTCCGAGAAAATTTAGCATCTAATAATTCTTCAAATATGTTTACATGCCCAACTAGAAAAGGATTTAAGAAATAGAAAAATAATATTTATGTAAATTTTGTTATCATTAAAGTCTTGTTGAGGAAACTTAATACTTAATAATATACTTTAATATTCTCTTTTCAACGTATTGTTTATATTGATGAAAGATTATTTAAAAATAAAAAATGTTAGGACACTTTTACTTAACAACCAGTGTTTCTTGAATTAATGATAAGATTTATCAAAATATATTATTTTCAAAAATATTAACAAGAAATGTTAGAGAGATTATTGCTACTAACATTTTTTTATTATTTAAAACTCATGTTAAGTCATAGATATTAAATATAAGTCTCATTTTCTTGAAGATAATAAGATTCATTTTTAAAAAACTAGTAAGCAAGTAAATTTCAATCGGAAATAAAATATGTATTAAAAATAAAATAACTTTTCCTTTTAATAAAGATCACATATCTTCTATGAAAGATCTTGAAATTACTTATATAGGTAACAAATATTTTCTTCCACGTATTTATCATAGTTACATACCTAAATTAAAAAATACTACCCACAAACACATAAACTAATTGGTATGAAGTTGTTTTAACTTAATTAGTTATTATTCAGATAATTTCACACAAATTAATCCATACACTCATAAATGTATTTTTTTAAATAAAAAAAAATATATTGTTAGTACCCTTAATGTTTTAAAAATTGATTAACATTTTTTTGTTTTTATTATATTTCATGTGTTTAATTAGTTGTGCTGTAAAACTGTGGTATGGTAATGCATCAATTACGGAGAACTTTTCTAGTTCCAATATGTTTCATACAAAATAATACATCATATGCAATACAAACTTAAAATAATATAAAAATTCAAAGTCACGAAAATTTTGATCTTTTAACCAGAGAAAAAGAAATTGAAGGTAATGTAGCACCACTAACTTCAACGTTTGATGTGAAAGTCGCTTGATTCTGGCGAGGCATCGCCATCACGGACCGTGGTGATTTCAGTAGTTTACACCAAACAATCCCTTTGATGAGCCTCACCAAATGAGTTACATATACTTGGCTAACAAAACGTGCCAACCCTTTATCTTTTCTTTAAATCACTTTAACTTGGAAATTCTATCCTTTGCTTCGATGCTGCTATATTATATATATTCGAGTGAGTTAGTGTGCTTCACAAGCTCTAACTGAAAGTGAACCAGAAACAAGAGTGTCAGAACAAAATAGAAATATTAAAAACACTGCACTCGGATATATCTTATGGTAAATATGGTGACCCCATTTCAGTTATAGCCATCTCATGCAGCTTTCTGATTTTTCCTGGTAAGGTTTACATTAAACCCTTCTTTAATGCATTTTTATTTATTTATTTTATCTGTGGGAAATTTAATGACTTTTATTATGTTGTCATGTTGTGTATTTAACTTGTAATGGATTCCATTGTCCTCATTATTAATTTTCTTCTTGGTTTTAGTTCCTTCTCATTTGTGCACCCTTTTTTGTTTCTTCTTTGATTATCTTTAGCACTTTGTAAATATGGTCCTTCTTGTTCAAAGAGTTAAGATTAAGAACTTCTCTGCATTTGTTTATTAATTAAGTTCACACTTCACAGGGTGTTCTTTGTTGCATTCAAGTTATGTGGAATTAGTTTGTGATTTCATTTTGAGTTCTCAAGAGGGATTGTGATTGTTCTACACATTCAACCAAATTGAATTATTGAAGTGAAAAGTTCAGCTGGTGAAGATCCATCACCACCTTAGCAGCTATGGTTCTAGGCATGAAAGGAAAGAACAGGAGAAGCCTCACAGTTCAACTTGATTTCCTCATTCACATTCAGGAGATTAAGCCCTGGCCCCCATCACAATCTCTAAGATCCCTTCGTTCTGTGTTGATAGAATGGAAGAATGGAGAATGTGCATCAGGTTCCACCACTCTTGTTGCCCCTTCACTTGGTTCAGTCATAGGTGAAGGAAGAATCGAATTCAATGAGTCATTTAGGCTTCATGTGACTTTGTTGAGGGATATGTCTGTGAGAAGTGTTGATTCTGATGTGTTCCAAAAGAATTTGTTGGAGTTCAACTTGTATGAGCCAAGAAGAGATAAAACTGTAAAGGGTCAGTTGTTGGGGTCTGCCATCATAGACTTGGCTGAATATGGGACACTTCAAGAGACTTTGAGCACTAATGTGCCTATGAACTGCAAGAGGAGCTACAGGAATACAGATCAGTCCTTTTTGTTCATTAAAATTCAGCCTGTTGAAAGGAATCGCGGTGCTAGTACCTCGTTGAAGGACAATCATGGTGGTGACTCAGTGTCAACACTCATGAATGAAGAATATGCTGAGGAAGCTGAGATTGCCTCTTTTACTGATGATGATGGCTCCTCACATTCTTCTGTGGCTGCTGTTTCTACTTCTATTGAGTCTAGTGGGTTTACCTCGTCCAAATTGGAAAAGGTACTTGTTTATAAGTTCTGTTGGTACTGTTAGAAATGCAACATTATTCATGTGTGACACATGAAAACTGGAAATTGATTTTAAGATAGAATCTAACATCACCTACTTCAAGTTTTGCAATACAACTTATCTATAGTCCATCTTTGCTATTCGCCTATTTTGATAGGCATCGCCTAGTCTGCCAAACACAATTTTTATATCTTAGACAACTTCACTTAATGCAATAGTGGAAATTGATTTTAAGATAGAATCTAACATCATATAAATATTATCAGTTTGGATTTTGCATTCATTATGACTTTGTTAATGTGTTTAGCTATTTGCAGTGATGCACGATCCTATAGTCTCATGCAAAAATAAAATGTACCCATTTAGAAAGAGAGAGAGTGACACCTTAAAAAGTTGAGTCCTACTTCATGAACAATAATTTTGAAAGTTTAGATGTTGGCAATGCGTATGTTTAATTAGGTCAAATAAATGTGGTTCAGACACAACATTAGAATATATCGTTACAACTTTTGTATACTTTGTGCTTGTTGAACAGAGTAGTGAAATCAAATTAGAAATGATTCGATGTTAAATATAAAAGTTGTAACCATATTTTGCATGTTTCCAATAAAAGTGTGATAAATAAGTGAGATGGTTTTCTTGTTTGTTTTATGTTAATATATTAAGAAAACCCTCTTCAAGCAATATACTAATTGTAACTGAATTGCAGAATGAACCATTTGACAACACTAGTGTGAATGGCAAGGAACATCCATTGGCTTCAGAAAAAAGGCTTGGAAACATGAATATGGCGCAACAAGATACATACAACAAGCTTGACAGAAGTTCTTACAATTCTAAAACAGATGTATCTTCTGCTATCAGGAGTCTGGTAAATGGCCATGCTTCTAACTCTCCTAATCGTAATTCTTCGTCAATCCAAAAGCTTGTTTCTTCACCTAGTGCTGATTCTTCTTCCCCATCTTCAGTTTGTGACAATTTAGACATAAATTATAGGAACGGGACAAGAAGAAGTGGTCATGAAAATTTGGATCAGAGTTTTAATGAAAAACTAGCTAACTATAGAAACATTGTTGCAGAAGTCCAGAAAAACAGTAATGAAAGCACTTTTGGCATCTATTCAAAGCACACATCATCTCAAGATAGTGGTCAGTTCAATGGTAAAAATCCAGCCTCTGAAAACTGTGATACTTCTGAATGTGATGAGAAATTAATTGGGAGACGTAAAACTGACAAATATTTTATGAAGGAGAGAGGAGGTGATAAAGTTTTCCATGGTTCTGTTGAGGACATAAATGTTAACGAAAAGTCTAATTTGGATTGGCAAAACGGCATGGAAGATGAACAATTGGTGGCACAAGGTGCCAAGGATCAAGCCTTATTGGGTAGCAATACATATTCTTTTGGGGAGCCAAATGCTGGTATGCAGGAAAATATTCTCAAAAGTGAAAGACTAAAGAACATGAAGTCAGTGAGGTTGCCAGCAGACTCAGCTAGGAATGCCGAATCACTTGGTAGCAATCATCATGCTGAATTGAATGAAAATGGCATTCATGAAGAAGCACAAAACAGTGGAGGGAACAGAATCAGTGACAGAAAAGATGCTAAGATTCATGCAAAGGAAGCAAGAAATGGTACTTTTGATGGAAAAATTGAGCATTTGGAAAAGAAGATAAAGATGCTTGAAGGAGAGTTAAGAGAAGCTGCTGCTATTGAGGCTGCTTTATATTCAGTAGTTGCTGAGCATGGAAGCTCCATGAGTAAAGTTCATGCCCCAGCTCGGCGCCTTTCCAGGCTCTATCTTCATGTTTGTAAAGAAAATCTTCAAGGAAGAAGAGCTGGGGCAGCTAAGAGTTCTGTTTCAGGATTGGTACTCGTTACAAAGGCATGTGGAAATGATGTCCCAAGGTACATTTGAGCTATATTTCTTGCTTCAGTTTATTCTAAGAATTTTCCAAATATCGTATCACTGAAAACTAACATTGTGCAACATATCCATCAATTCTAAGAATCACAAGTTGCACCATAATGAAATGTTGGTTAAACATTTTGTGGAAAAAAATTGTGTTTATTTGGTTATTTCTGAAAACAAGAGGCTGAGGCACAAAGAAATGTTCCCTTATGCTGAACACGTGATACGCTTATCCATCAAAATACTTTCTAAAATGAGAATGGACTTGATCTAAACTTTCTTTTAAAAATAATGAAGTGGATATCCCATACAAAACTCTTAAATGGGTTAGATTAAGCAGATGCTTGAGTAAACTTCTCCGGAAACACTTCTAATAGAGGAAAGTAAAAATAAAAAATGAAATAAGTTTCTCTACGTGTTAAAATTAGCTTCTGGATAAACAATTTTTTAGAATTTCTCTCTTATTAATTTCTTTAAAATCTTATTTTTAATTCATGCATAAGCTACTTTTAGCTTAAAGAGAAAACTTTTTTTTTTTTCTTTCTATTTTTCTCTTTAGAAGTGCTTCTAGAGAAGCTTATTCAAATAGGTCCTAATTAGATGTTGTTCAACTGATGTCCTGATGAATTTTGTCTGTGAAGGAAACAATAGTTTCACCATGAACTGTGCTAGGTAGTTGAACTCTTCTTGCATGGCTACAGGTTGACATTTTGGCTGTCTAATACTATAGTGCTGAGAACGATTATTAGCCGAACCATCAAAGATTTGGTTCCATCAAATCCTGATGGATCTGGTAGGAGAAGGAAAATTGAGGGAGAGGAGGTGCATGGCAAGATAACTACCTCACTAAAGTTGAAGGGTTTATACCCTAGAAAAAATGAAAATACAGCATTAGGATATGGAGGTTTTGGTAACTGGGATGATCCTCAGGTATTTATATCAGCACTGGAAAAGGTTGAAGCATGGATATTCTCTCGCATTATAGAATCTATCTGGTGGCAGGTAAAGCCTTAATCTTATCCTCCCCTAGAACAATCCTACAGCTAGTACTCTATTGGCTGGTGATTAAATATCACAAAAATGAAAAATCCTTTGTTATCTAACATGAATCCTTCTTTGTCTGTGATCAGACTTTGACTCCCCACATGCAGCATACAAAGTTGACCAACAAGGAAGTGGGTTCTGCCTCAAGAAAAAGCTATAAAAGGACATCTAGCTCATGTGATCAAGAGCAGGGTAACTTGTCTCTATATATTTGGAAGAAAGCTTTCAGGGAAGCATGTGAAAGGCTCTGTCCTATTCGAGCAGGAGGGCATGAGTGTGGCTGTCTGCCTATGCTTTCTAGATTGGTCAGTCTAATTTAATAGCTTCCTAACCTTCTTTGAGCTTGTTGGATACAAAGTAAAAGAACTTTTGAGAAATTCTCTTTTGAAAAAAGCTCTTTAAAATCACTTCTAAACTTACATTTAAATAGTCTCTTTGTGAAAAAGAAACCAAAGTTTTCATCATATTGTTCTATTTATAATTTGTTTTCATTTTTATGTGGTTTGGTAAAACTAAAAGCTTTGTAAGGAAGGATTGAATGTCAATTTAGAAACAAGAGCAGGATAAACAATGAATGAAAAACATATTTAAACCAAAGGTCCAAAACTTGAGAACAAAAAACTTGATTGCAACTATAAATGAATGCCGTAAGGTTTTATTTTTATTTTTCGTCCTAAAGGATGAAAATTTTGTTTTATTTTGTTTCGACATTATTATTACCTTTGACTCCTGCCAGGAAATTTAACCATATATGATAGAGACGTGTAATATTTGAACTAGAAATAATGGCATATATAAGGCGTGTTTGTTAAGACTGATCTAGGGTCTCATGAAGTTGAAAGGTGTCTCTTTATTTTTAATATCTTCACTAGAATATAGGCCAAAGAAGGGTTGAGAAAAGTCTAATTTGTGCAAATTTCTTAATCTGAAAGTAAAGCATCTGCAAATGTGTTTTTCTTCCTCCAAGTTGATAGCTCAGCAGAATATACTAATTCATATTGAGTCTTAAGTTCATTACTTTAGTTTAGTCCATGAAAGTGCTTCTTCAGTTCTTAGCATCTATCATGACTTCAGAATCCATTTCTGCTGCATAAATCTAGATAATGGAGCAGTGTGTGGCGAGATTAGATGTGGCTATGTTCAATGCTATTCTTCGAGAGTCTGCTGATGAAATACCAACTGATCCTGTATCTGATGCCATCAGTGATCCCAAGGTTCTCCCCATTCCACCTGGGAAATTAAGCTTCGGAGCTGGTGCACAGCTAAAAACTGTGGTAACTTCTCAATACATGTGTGTATGTATGTATATATATGTATATATGTATATATTTTTATCTATTTGAATTGAATTTAATATAAAAGAAAAGAATTTTTAAGTTACAACAATTCGTATACCCTATACATATATGTACACATACATATATGTGTGTATTTATATATGTGCGTGTGTATACATTTGTGAACTTTCATATCTGGCAATCCATTCAAATCCTAAGCTTGGATATAGAATAAGTGATATTAAGAAGGAAATACTTACTTTGTGTATGTTCATATTCCCTAACGAAAATTAGTCACTGTTTCCGTACCAATACCATGGTTAAAATAAAATAAGGTCGTGAACATGGTTTTCTTGGTCTGGAATTTATCTGAAAAGCTGTTGAATTAGAGGGTGACTAAACTTTGAATATAATTTCACTAGAGATAATTTTCTTGTATTATTTAGTGATACATTCTTTACACTTATGTCACCAATTTGTCTTTGTCAGATTGGGACCTGGTCTAGATGTTTGACTGATCTATTTGGCATGGATGATAATGACTCAATTGAAGATAAAGCTCACCCTGATAACAATCAAGAGAGACATAATACATCCTTTAGTCTTCTCAATGCACTAAGTGACCTCTTGATGCTTCCTAAGGATATGCTGTTTAGTGCATCCATCAGGAATGAGGTTTGTTTGGCCATGAAATTGAACTTCTCTTCATGTAATTAGTTGCTAATATCATGTTGTATCTTTCTCCTAATCATGATACAAGGATTCTTGTTTGTTAAGGTATGTCCGATGTTTACTGCAACACTTATGAAGAAGATTCTTGACAATTTTGTCCCAGATGAGCTTTGCAGTGATCCTGTTCCATCTTATGTTTTTGAGGCTCTGAACTCAGAGGTTAGATATACAAATTTGGACTTTAGTCCTCTTTGGCTCATTATATAGAATCTTCTATTTGATATACCCCATATAGAATCTCACATTCATAAATAAATAAAATACTCGCATTATACTTGGGGTAAGTTTCAGCATGCATGTGAAATCTGGGTACTATTACTGTAGCAGAGAGGTCTAAATTAAAAGAGTAATAATACGCATACAAAATTTCATACAACATAGTTTTTTTTTTTTATCTATTTTTTCACATCATTTATTACATTTTACACTTCTCTCTGTTTTCTTTTTTCTCTCTCTTAGTTGCACATATTGTTTTCTTTTTTTCTCTCTTAGTTTTATATACGAGAATTGTATATGGTGTATAAATATGACAACGTTTTCAAAAATTAAGATACAGATATGAGATACCATAGTATATAACTGAAATATAACTATATTTACATATTATTTATATTTTATTATGGTTAAAAAAAAACTGGAAGTTTAAATTTTAGTCCCTTAATAATACACATTGGTCTTTACTGCAACTATCTTTCTTAAGTTTTCCTCCATAAAATCTGAAGTTTTAATTCCTACATGCCCATTTGAAGACTAATTATTGAATGAGTAATCTCTATAGAGATCAAATGATTAGTTTATTTTCTTTATTTTTCCAATATATACAGCTAACATTTATATGAATGTTGCATCACTTATTTTTAAAATATCAATACAACATTGTTGACAACTTGACACATTCAAGCTATGTTACTTATTTCTGATGTCCAATGTGATCTATTCTAAGTTTTGTTTTGAATTTTACAGAATGCTATGGGAGATGGAATGGAGCATTTCAACAACTTTCCATTCATTGCAGCCCCCATTGTGTATTCACCTCCACCAGCCACTTCCATTGCAAGCATTGTTGGGGAGAAGGGAAGCAAATCTCAACTAAGAAGAAACAGATCTTGTGTTGTTAAAAAGTCATGCACCAGTGATGATGAGCTCAATGAATTGAAGTCCCCATTGTATTCAATATTGTCCAGTGCTTCCTCATCACCATCGGTTTCAGCAAAATCCAGCTTGAAGTTGAAAGAAATTCGCAACCAATCTCCTGTTAGATATGAGCTACTCAGGGATGTGTGGATGAAAAGTGAGTAGTCTTCTTGTAGATAGATTCTACACTCTTCTAAAGCAAGCTTGTATGTAAAATGTTCAGGTAAATAAATGTGTAACAACTTGGAGAAAACTTGAGTCTTTTTGGGCACAGTCTAGGAGAGTTGTTGATAACTTCTCTGTTGAAAATGAAGAGTATTTTCTATTAAAGTTGTTATTAGACATTATTTAAGACAAATATATTTTTATCAAGAGGGGTATGATATTTTTTGTATATCAAATTTAGGGTATTTCAAGGTATTTGCACACACATCTTTACATTGATTTGATATTGTTTACTTTGAATTTTTATTTTCATAGTTTTACCTTTAATCATTACTCAAAATGTCTCTAATCAATTTAGTGTGTATGTATTTTATAAATCTTTAGTTTTACTCTTATTTTAATGATGTGAAATTAACGTAGTTTGTAAACCAACATTTTTTTGGTATAGAAGTTCTTAAAATCCTTCTAAGCTTAGTCTAGTTTGTTAGGTGTTTTAGTATTGTCTCCCAATTAAAATTAAATTTTACTTAATTTGCATTAAATATTGGCATATGTTATCAATGTACAACTAATTTTAATCAAAACATATTAAGCTTAATTGTACTTTTTATCATTCATATTTCATTATTTTATAAATTTTATTACTCAACTTTTGAAATTGCAAATTTTGACACTAAACTTTCAGAATTTCAAACATGTCACTTCATCATTTATATATCACATTAACAATTTATGTCAACATTTAATATGACACATTACTGTCGTATCCCAAAAAATTTCGATCTTATGACCAATGGTTTGGAATACCTTTTGAAAAATCTCATCAATTAGAAAATGTCTAGAAACCAAACTAATCATTAATTAATGATTTTGAAAAATGAGTTCATAAAATTTTCATCAATGTTTTACTCAAAACATTGAAAAAAAAAGATTTTGCAATTAAAATAAAGGTCTTCATAGCAAAAATTGGGTTCGAAGGTCGGTTACGTGTAGGGCAGGTAAGGAAGGTATTAGGCACCCCTACAACACCCTAAATTGGTACCCTATGATGAAATTAGCATAATAATAAATAATATTTTAAATATCTTATCCCTTTTTATTATTTAATAGTATTTACATGACGAAAAATACCTATTTTCTACATGATTATTTGTTGGTATATAAGAATTATAAATAAAATGATGAATAAAGAAATAAAATAATAATAAATGAAATAATAAATAAAATAATTACAAAGAATAAATAAAAGAGAAGAATTTAGAACCTTTAAAGCAAGCTTTTTATAAGAGAATCTTTCCAAATGCGTGCAGGACGCGTTTTGGCAGCCATCCGCTATACAAAAGCCTCACTATCACTCAAAGGTTTATATAGAGAGGGGAGAAGCTATGCAACTTTTTCTTTTATCCATTGGCCAAAGGGTTTCTTATATAGTCAACTAGGAGACAAAAGCTTAAGAAAGTTATTCGATGTGGGACTAAATTTTATAAAAATACCATCTTTTCCTAGGCACCATGCATAACCTCTAGAGAACTTGTTAACTGTTGGATCATACTGGTTTTTTTTATGGTATCTTCACAATATATTGATCTTCAATTTCAAAGGTTGGATCTTAAAAATTAGGTTTGTAGTGAGAGATACTATCATAACAAAAATGTTGTCTGGTACAGGATTCATATTTTCTAGCTGCAATACGAGGCCTCTAGAGAAATCGTTAACCGTTAGATCATGCTAAAATTTTGATGATATTTTCTTAAGACATTGATCTTTAAATTCAACGATCGGATCATGAAAATTAGGTCTTTAAAGGGAGATATTATCAGAACAAAAACGCTAATCAGCATAAAATTTTATGGAAAGGGGAACGGGCTGTTCCAACATTGGGAACAATTGGAAATGGCCGTTCTGCGCCCTAGATCAGTTTTTTTTAGTTTTTGGGCCTTTCATATCCATCTTGCCTCGTTTAGGTGCTTTATTGGGCCCTTAAGACCGTACGTGTTATTTTTTCCAACTGCAATGTGAGGCTTCTAGAGAACTCATTAACCATTGGATCATACTGGAATTTTGATGATATCTTCTCAATATATTGATATTTAATCTCAATGTTTGGATCGTCAAAATTAGTTATGTAATGAGAGATATTATCATAAAAAAATTGTTGTCCAATGCGTTGGGCCCCTCAAAGGTTGTTTGTCTCACTCTAGTAGACTTTTGTCTTGATTTGGGTACCCCGAATGAAATTGAGTGTCTACAGTTACTAATCAATATTTCATGTCAACAATCATCTAACAAAATGACAAAATACAATATTTTGAAAGATAAGTAGAAAAATGTGTAATTTAATTTGTAAGTTGGTTGGTAAATTTTGTGAAATCGATAAATATGAATAATAAAAAGTATAATTAAATCAAAATATTATCATTATACAAAGAATTGTATTTAAGTTATTTATAAAAAAATAAAAAAAGTCAAAGTAAAACACTTTATTTGTACACTTTCACTACTGCATATAACACATTTATTAACATTTATCTGTCAACATTTAATATAATGCTACTAATTTCTCTTAATTGTATATTTTTGTAACATGTTTAACAATAAATGTTACCAAATAACTTGAATTATATTCTTTTATAATATTTTTAATCATAAATGTCACTATTTTATTTGAATTATATATTTTCTCTTAACTTTCTAACACTAAATGTTATTAATTTATCCAACATTTTAAACATTTTTAATAATAAAATTTACTATTATTTTCTTACTAATTTCAAATAATCACTACTATTTTAACTTAAAACACATTTTCTTATTCTTAAAAAAAGGAATAAGTACTTGACTATAGATAGTAAAAAATGTTATATGTGCGTTTTGAAATTTAGAAGTGATGAAGATTTCTGAATAGTACTCTACACCAAAGAGGAAAAATTGTGCTTATGAGCTCTTAACAATGGCATGAACTTGTTCCTCTTATGTTGTTAGTAATAACAAAATTTTTAAGTTTTATTTGCTCTTGATAACTTCTATTGCAACATCGTGTTCTTATGATTCAACACTTGATAATTTATCTATAATTTTCAAATTCTCTGATATTTAGGATTATCAATAGCAACATTTCATCTCACGATTTTTATTTGCGTTAATACTCTCATTCTTCACGATTTGAAGCGAACATTCATATTGTGACCTAGTTATCGCAACGTTATAGTAAGTTTCACAATTTTAAAATTTTCTCAACATTTTCTTTAATGTAATATTCATTGAATACTTTAATTGAATCTTTTGTGATCCAATCTTCAATCCTTTTGAAGTCAAATTGGATTCTTGGCTACAACACTAAGCTTTTGTGTTTAGGTACGGTAACTATTTTGTTAGCGGGGAGGAATAACTTTTGTTTATGAAATCTTAACGTAGTTAGTTTATGCCTTGAAGGGCTAGTGCTTAGTTCAACCGAAGAAAATGAAAGCATTACATGTAGAGCAGATAAAAGATTGGGCAATTTTTTTACTTTTGAGCACTAACACATGCATATGGATGGTTGGGTCTTTTCTATCATTTTGAATTTAATAAGCAAAATGTGTTAGATTATATGTGCTTTTATAACTTTGATCTTAGGATAGGAAAATGCTACAAAAATAGTACATTTTACATGGAATTCAAGTGTTGGTTGAGTTGGCAGAAACAAAGTGATAATCTTGTGTTTGTAATGTTGTTATTATACAATAATCTTACATTTTTCTAAACCTTTTTTTTTTTTTAAGGTTTCTTAGTCTATGATTCTTTTTTTTGTTTTTTTTTTTTTCTGTAATGCCTATATCATTTTGCTTCTTTTTTCAAAGAAGCTTAGATCAACTAGAGACATAATTCAAGAAGCTTAAATCCATGACCATAAGGACTAAAAGCACATTTTAAATCTATGGTGACACCAAGGTACTCTTTGGTTATGAATTATGATTTCAAAAGATTCACATTTTGATTCATTTCACTAATTGAGTTTGATTAGCAAAATTTCTTAACATATAACCTAGTAGTAATTGTTAAGTTGACTAGCTAAGCCTCTGAGTCCCAACGTGAACTCTTTATCAACCTAATTAATGGTTTTTATAAAATCATGAATGGACTTTAAAGTAGCTGTGAATCTTGGTAACAATACTTAAAACACTTTCTCACTACTTTTTCACTTCTTAAATTGCATTCAAGACATGAAGATATTGAATGCACATATCTAAATAGAATTTCTAAATTATTTTCAAATTGCTCACTCACCATCTCAAAATTCTAATACAATTAGTACTTTTTTTTTTCTTCAAAAACCCAATATAGAAAATCCAAACAAGTACATGATACCCAAGCTAATCGATAATAACAACATGATTCTTATATATAGTTAAATTTGACTTATAATTCACCTTTTCAATATGTTGAACAATTATTTTACCTTTAAAGTAAAAATGTATATATGTATAAACTAGTTATATTAAAATTGGAGTCGTTAAATAGTTTTTGCCAAGTTGTGTAGTGAGAACAATAACTATGTAGATAAGGTGAAAAATAAAGGAAAAAAACAGAGAGGGAGATTAGTAGCAGTGAGAGTAGAAAGAGGCAAAGGAAAGGATTGGGGTAGTTCTTACTTTTTGTGGGTTTGGAAATCCTTGGAAGACAAATTAGTGTGTAACAACATTTAGGCAACTACCTTATCAAGGTTAACTAGATGAAAATATAATTCATGGGAATAAGTTTGTGAATAATGTTTTATAATAATCTTTAATATTTGAACAATACCATCATTCATGGAAGTTAAAAATAAATGAATGGATTTGGTTGCTTTTGTGTTTGAAAAAGACAGAAACAAGTTTATAAAATGTAAATAATGGTGAATCATGCTCTAGTTATTTTTGTGTTAATTATTGACCTTTTCTTTTGCCTAATGCATATATTTGTTATTTCATAGGTGTTATAAAGGGTAAAGGATGTCTAGCCTTTTTAGTTTTGATATTTAATTTTTTATCCTTACTTGGCATAAATTCGTTCATATTTTGACATTTATAAATAGTTTATGGTTATTCTTTTTTATGTTTCTTACTTTTCATTTTTCTTGATATATTTTGAGTGAAATTACTTGGAAATTAAGTATTCAGGATAAAAGCTTTGCAACCTTTCTTTTCATGTAAAATATGACCCTAGATATTATGCAAGCATTGTCATAA